CCTTTACCCTTTAGCATGGATGTAAAAGAGCTTTTGTCCTGGACTGTGGTTGGAAGTTCTGTTTGCTGGTGAGAGCACAGGGGACACTGGTCACAGGCAGCCAGGATTGCTGAGGGTCAATCTGCCCCATTCGTCTGGGTGAGGAGGGCTCAGTGCACATGGCTTCTCCATCAAGTCCATAGTCACAAGTCTGTCCTCTACAGAGAGCTGAAACCTTTAGCCACCATCTGGCAAAGAGGGTTCAAATTGCGCTTATTAAAAAGACACAGAGGAGTGAGGCACCAGAGATGGCCTTTACAGAGGAGCAGTGGTGCTCCTGAAATCAGGCCTCCATGTTGGAGGTTCCCAGGCCAGAGCACCACAGTTGAGGGCTGCCTTAGAGACTGACTTTGAGGAGCACTAGGGCCTTGACTCTATCCTGCAAGGTGACGTGTGTTTATTAAAGGGGAACTGTTGCACTTGAATTGCGCAGTAAGGGGAGAAGAGATTCCTGAAGTTGGCCATTTGGCTCTGGCAGTGAGAAGTGTGAATAGGAAAGTAATTTAACACCTCCCCTCACGAAGCCCTCCTCATATGGACCCCTGTGCCCCCAGGGGACATTCCCACACCTCTGCCAAGCTTTACCCTGCTGAGTGAGTCCCTGCATGGGTGGTGTCCCTCCTGCAGAGCTGTCCAAGCAGCAGCTGGGGCTGTTGGTAGAACATCTCAGACCTTGTGCCAGACTGGGGAGGGAGCCATGGCCTGAACTCCGTATGTGCTGCTGCTGTGCTGGTCCTGCCTGTGCAGTCCTTGCTGCTTCCCTGCATGCCTCCCCCCAGAGAAGGAGGGGTTCCCACTCTTGGTGCTCTGAGATGGCATTCCCTGCTGCTCTGAGATGGCATTCCCTGCTGCTCTTCACAAACCCTGCTGTGCTTTAATGCTGGCTTGCTCCTGCCATGCAACTTCCTCATCCCCTGCTCCATTCCTAGGCTTTTTGTTTCCTGTTCATCTGTTCGGTTATTATATATATATTTTGTAAATTTCTGTTTGAACATTTTGTCATTGTGAACAAAGAAAAATGAAACCTTTTAAAACATATCCATTTTATTAAATGATTATTGTTATTATTATTAATAATGTTTACTACCTGAATTGATCAGTGAAATAAATACATGCAAAATCCCGACCTCTTCCTGTTTAATTTCCAGTCCCCTTGAGCAGCATTGGTGAAATGGACTGTTTCTCCTTTTATCCAGTTCCATTGGAGCAGGCTCCAGGCAGGGCTTCCTGTGTGGGATTTCTGGCCTGTGTTCGTCAGAAGCTAGATGAGATGATCCTGAAATTCTTCTGTCTTTAAGTTTCCCCTAGAAGTGGTGTCTAAATCAGCAATGGGTAGCTGGACAGAATCCAGTTCAAGGAAATCCATTTTGTAAGTAGCCAAAGGAGCATTGCTCAGTACAGTGTGCACAGTACAAGGTGATGGTGAATTGGGCCCAATGGGGCAGCCATTTCACAATGTGGCCTTATCTCTGGTGGCCTTATCTTAGGGAGCATACAGAATGCCTGGAGTCAGGCTGATGGCACAAAAGTATCTGTGAAGGTGTGATGGCCTTGAGAAGACAAGATTCTGACTAAATGCAGGTTTGACCCTTGGATTTATCTGTTCAAGTATTTCTGTAATGGAAATTCTGAATAAAGGATGTGGTCAGTCATTCTCAGCAGCTGCAAACTGGACTCATGGAGAGTTGCCAACTCACTTGGCCATCAAAAGAGCAGTCCCTCGCAGCACCCTCCTTCCCAGTCTGTTGTCTTTCTGTGAATGCAGCTAGTTCATTTTGATGTAGTTGGTGAAATGCCAAGAGTTGTATTTTACCCCTTACAAAAATCAGTCATTGGAGCATGAAAGTTCCTGGAAGATCTTTCTCCTTGGCTCAACTATTGACACCAGTGTGGTCACTGGAACTCCATTTCTTTCAGATCTTCCACTGCTCATTAAAAGTAGATTTGTGTCACTGCTCCCAGGGAAACTGCAGGGCCAGGACACTGTGAGGTGCTAGTTCTCACCACTCTGCCAAATACAGGCTTCCTAATGAGATGGGAAACCAAAGGCCACAGTACTCAGGGAGTGCAGGACAAAGCAGTAATGTCACATTCCAGGTTGAAAGGCATTTTGAGTTACTACTTTGCAATTGAGACTTTGTGATGCTTCTGCTTGACTGAGCATGCGGGCCCAGAATCACAATTACTAGTACCATCAGCATCTCTCCCAGCAACTCTCTCAGCAAACATGTTCTTGCTGTCAGCTCCCAGTTCTTGGAAGACTTGCTCAATGAAGCCTCAGCTTCCGATGACATGCAGCAAACTTGCAGGAAGGCCTCACATGGGAGGTGTCCCCGGGATGAGCCTGACCCTTATCTTGCCAGCCAGCTGCAAGGGCATTATCCGGGAGCTCAGCTATGCAGCTGCAAACACTCTTGCGCTGGCTGGACTGTCTTAAGACCTTCTTGTGTTGTAAAGCCAGCAAGAAAGCAAGGACTGAACTACTCCGGTAAGTCAACAAAGCTACCCTCTGTTCTTTTTTTTTTCCTTTACATTTGGTTATCAGATTGCACAGAAAGGCACTGCCTTGCCGCAGGTGTGTGTGATTGCTCACCTAAACTTACAGCACCTTGTGTTCAGTGATGGCATGAGGCTGCAGTACAAAGACGGCTCATGGACCTGTCTCTCCCAGTATGGTCACAGCTCCAGAAGGAGATTATTCACCTGCTGGAGCAATGTCTAGCATGCAAAACTCCACTGACCTCCACCTTCAGTGGTCAGAACCCTCTCTGCTGGCCAAGGACTGTTTATCACTTATTTTTAACGCTGAAAAGGCTATTTTTTACTTGTGGTAACAGTAAATTTATTTCTGAATCTCTAGTAGTTTGTATGAACAAAGCTTTGCTGAAAGATGTTGTTCAGAGCTATGATATGCAGTTTCATATTATAGTTTTTGATTCCTTCATGTAAATGTTCTTGGCTACCCTGGTAATGCTGCTTCAGTAATGCTGAAAATACAAGCAGCTCTGCACTTCTTGGGACTAGTGAAAATGAATTTGATGGCTGCAGCTAAGCTTCTCAGTAGCCCGTCTGTTCACAACCCACCTGAAGTCCAGGGTTGGAAGACCAGGAACATTCCCTCTGCTATAAAGAGAGACCAAGAATTTGCACAACATCTCTTTTAACTCCTCCCTTTTCAGAGCTCTCACATCTCCTGTGAAGAACATCAGATTCATCCAACTTTAGAAACTCATCCTCAGAACAAACCAACAGAAGACCTGGGCAGTGGTGTCAGTCCCAGAGTGTGTGGTGTCTACTTGCCTGGTCTCCACCTCATCCAGTCTCACCAGGGCAGTGTTTGCAGGTGAAGATGAACAGTGGAATTCTCTTCTTGTCCCTCCTTGGCTTCCTCCCACTCGTGATACCCACGTGCCCTGTGCCATGCAAGTGTGCCACTAGCATTATTGACTGCACATCAAAAGACCTAACTGTAGCAAAACTACCAGTTGCTTTCCGCCCTTCAGCTGAAATTATCCACCTTGGTTACAACAGGCTCACCTCGATTCCCAATGGGCTCTTTGACAACCTGAAGAGCCTCCAGGTAGTCTACCTGCAGGGCAACCCTTGGGAATGCAACTGTGACATCCTCTACTTGCGCTCCTGGCTCCAGTGGCAGCAGAACCGGACCTTGTACAGGGATGTGAGATGTGCCTCCCCAGCTCACCTGCAGGACCGGGTCATTGCCTATCTGACAGAAGATGAGATTATCTCCACGTGCCAGTACTGGTACTGCACCCTGGCTCTCCTTTCTCAGCTCTGTCTCTTCATCCTTCTTTTCCTGCAGGGTATCTTGGTTGTCTTCATCATTGTCTACCTGCAGAAATTTCGAAGAATGACCGCTGAAGCCCAGAGCACCACCCGAGATCTACACCAGCATGTGGACGCTTGGGAATCTTCCTCGAGAAACCCCTACAACAGTGATTAACATCACAAGCCTGAAGACTCTCCTCCCTCTTGGCTGATGCTGTGCCATGGTCATATGGTTTGAAATATCCAGAGGGAACAATTCAGTGCTGCATCTCATCCTGACTGCGGTCCAAAGCAGGACATGAACTGATGAAAGACTTGGTCTTGTGTTTTTTAATGCTTTAAACTCTTTAACATGATTTTGATTGCTTTGCTGAGCTGGGTGTGGTTCTGGTTTGATAGACTAAGGAGAAATAATGAACTACAGCAACAAGAACTGACTCAAACTTCTCATAAGCTCCAGTGAGGGCTACAGTTCTTGATCCTTCCTCTGCTAGAGTATTTTCAGCCATACTTTTCCATGATGCTTCTGGTTGCATTGGGTCAGGTGAGGACAGATGTGGACAGTGAACAGTTAATGTACTAGACAATGGAGAAGTACACTTTCCTTAGTGCTAACACAGGTTATTTTAGTAACATTGGACAAGTGACTTTGTCTTCTCCTGCCTTAGTTGCCTATCAGTAAAAGGGAAAGGTTGGTTCTTCTTACTGGATGCATCTTTTCCAGTGTTCTGTAGGAGAGAGGGAGGCAATGTTTAGGAACCTACCCATTTTACCCTATATTCGTTCCTTTTAGGCTACTTATAGTTGTAATACTGACTTTGACATGTACTGAGTCAGACTGGGGCCCTGAATGTCTGAGAAATTAACCCTGAAGCCAAGAGTTGTAGAGACCAGAGGCTCTTCTTGTCTGTTGCCTGTACAGCACCTGGCCCAGGACATCTGTCTTTGGAGCCTCAGACTGCAAAACCCACAAGCCTGCCTACTGCTCGTTATGATGTCCCTTAATTATTTTGAAACAGAGCAAAATTGAAATAAAATAATGATGCATAATGATGTAAATGGCTTATTTTTCTGCACTAGTTACGTTGCACTGTTGCACTCTTGACAGTTACTCTTGGTCCCTTACACTCAAACTTTCTACCAAGCAGAACAAATACCAAAGGCAGGTGGAGATGGTACTAGAAGTGCTCAGCGGGGTTAAACCTGGGCCGCTCCCGCCTTCCACCACGGGCCAGTCTAACGGGGGAGTTTGTTCTCGTTCCACTGAGGTGCTGCTTATTATTGTTTTATTTTTTCTGTATGCTGGGGGCTGGAGAGGGGCAGGGCCCCCGGGTGCGGGGTTCCCAGCCCTGCGGGACGGGGCTCAGCGGGACCGGCTCCCCGGGTGCGGGGTTCCCAGCCCTGCGGGACGGGGCTCAGCGGGACCGGCTCCCCGGGTGCGGGGTTCCCAGCCCTGCGGGACGGGGCTCAGCGGGACCGGCTCCCCGGGTGCGGGGTTCCCAGCCCTGCGGGACGGGGCTCAGCGGGACCGGCTCCCCGGGTGCGGGGTTCCCAGCCCTGCGGGACGGGGCTCAGCGGGACCGGCTCCCCGGGTGCGGGGTTCCCAGCCCTGCGGGACGGGGCTCAGCGGGACCGGCTCCCCGGGTGCGGGGTTCCCAGCCCTGCGGGACGGGGCTCAGCGGGACCGGCTCCCCGGGTGCGGGGTTCCCAGCCCTGCGGGACGGGGCTCAGCGGGACCGGCTCCCCGGGTGCGGGGTTCCCAGCCCTGCGGGACGGGGCTCAGCGGGACCGGCTCCCCGGGTGCGGGGTTCCCAGCCCTGCGGGACGGGGCTCAGCGGGACCGGCTCCCCGGGTGCGGGGTTCCCAGCCCTGCGGGACGGGGCTCAGCGGGACCGGCTCCCCGGGTGCGGGGTTCCCAGCCCTGCGGGACGGGGCTCAGCGGGACCGGCTCCCCGGGTGCGGGGTTCCCAGCCCTGCGGGACGGGGCTCAGCGGGACCGGCTCCCCGGGTGCGGGGTTCCCAGCCCTGCGGGACGGGGCTCAGCGGGACCGGCTCCCCGGGTGCGGGGTTCCCAGCCCTGCGGGACGGGGCTCAGCGGGACCGGCTCCCCGGGTGCGGGGTTCCCAGCCCTGCGGGACGGGGCTCAGCGGGACCGGCTCCCCGGGTGCGGGGTTCCCAGCCCTGCGGGACGGGGCTCAGCGGGACCGGCTCCCCGGGTGCGGGGTTCCCAGCCCTGCGGGACGGGGCTCAGCGGGACCGGCTCCCCGGGTGCGGGGTTCCCAGCCCTGCGGGACGGGGCTCAGCGGGACCGGCTCCCCGGGTGCGGGGTTCCCAGCCCTGCGGGACGGGGCTCAGCGGGACCGGCTCCCCGGGTGCGGGGTTCCCAGCCCTGCGGGACGGGGCTCAGCGGGACCGGCTCCCCGGGTGCGGGGTTCCCAGCCCTGCGGGACGGGGCTCAGCGGGACCGGCTCCCCGGGTGCGGGGTTCCCAGCCCTGCGGGACGGGGCTCAGCGGGACCGGCTCCCCGGGTGCGGGGTTCCCAGCCCTGCGGGACGGGGCTCAGCGGGACCGGCTCCCCGGGTGCGGGGTTCCCAGCCCTGCGGGACGGGGCTCAGCGGGACCGGCTCCCCGGGTGCGGGGTTCCCAGCCCTGCGGGACGGGGCTCAGCGGGACCGGCTCCCCGGGTGCGGGGTTCCCAGCCCTGCGGGACGGGGCTCAGCGGGACCGGCTCCCCGGGTGCGGGGTTCCCAGCCCTGCGGGACGGGGCTCAGCGGGACCGGCTCCCCGGGTGCGGGGTTCCCAGCCCTGCGGGACGGGGCTCAGCGGGACCGGCTCCCCGGGTGCGGGGTTCCCAGCCCTGCGGGACGGGGCTCAGCGGGACCGGCTCCCCGGGTGCGGGGTTCCCAGCCCTGCGGGACGGGGCTCAGCGGGACCGGCTCCCCGGGTGCGGGGTTCCCAGCCCTGCGGGACGGGGCTCAGCGGGACGGGCGCGAGGCGCCGCGCGCCCCCTGGCGGTGCTGCTGGGCCCGGGGCCGCTGAGGGAGCGAGGGCGGGAAGGAGGCGCTGCCTGAGGGGAAAGGAGCGTCCCCCGCCTCAGGGGGCTTAGCCTCCCCTCGGCTCATCTCAGGGGTCTGCGCTGGCCTCACATGTATGAGGTATCGCAGCGGAAGAGCCCCGGTGCTGGGGTGGGAGTTGTGCGGACGGAGGCTGAGGGGAGACGATGGGGCCCTGTGAGCACCGCGCTGAGGGAAGGCTGGCACACGGGGCGGTGGACGGTGTCAAAGGCTGAAGAGGACGTTCACCAGCCTCTGTGCACCTGGGCCAGCCTGATGTGAGGTAAGTGAGCCAGGGCTTTGCCTCAGGGGACCTGTTTTCTCCATTTCCTCTCTCTGCCCCATGTCTGTCCAGCACTCACTCTCTGTGGCGTGAGCCTGACTGGATGTGCAGTGTAGCACCCAAGGAGGTAGAGCTCCAGCTCAGATTCGTTCTTTTCTTCTGGGAATTGGACCTTGCTGAGCTTTGTAGTCAACGTGCCTCTTGCTAGAAGCTGTGATATCCCCTGCAATATCAGCAGTGACCATGTCCTCCAAGGTGGGGGCTGGGAGACAGAGAGCTCCACCGAAGAGCCTGCTCTGTGGAGACGCTCAAATCAATGCTGTGCGAGGCCTCCTGATGCTCTCAAGAATCTGATTTTTAAGTCCTGTTGTATTCTCTATTCCAGCTCCCCAAGGAATAAACTTTCCATAGGAATAGAAACTCTGTTTTCTGGCTTGCTCTTCCATGGTCTTCTTTTTCCAGAAGCAAGATGCAGATGTGTAATCAAGTTGGAGAACTAGTCCTGTGAGGAGAGGCTGAGGGAATTGGGATTGTTTAGTTTGGAAAAGAGAAAGCTGAAGGGAGACCTGATAGCTCTCTACAACTACCTGAAAGGAGGTTGTAGGGATGTGGTTATTGGCCTCTTCTCTCAAGTAAATATTCAGTGAGGAAATGGCCTGAAGTTACTCCTGGCAATGTTTAGGTATTAAGAAGAATGTCTTAATTGAAAGAGTAGTCAGGTGCCGAAGTGGGCTTCCCAGGGAGGTGGTGTAGTCATTATCCCTGGAGGTATTTAAAAACTGTGTAGATGTGGCACTTCAGGACATGGTCTACTCGTTGGTTGGTTTTTGATGGTGTTTTTTTTTTGTTTTGTTGGGTTTGTTTGTTTTTTGTTTGGTTGGGGTTTTTTGTGGGGGTGGGGGGTTGATGGCTGGACACAATTATTTTAGAGCTCTTTTCCAATCATGACACTTCTGTGATTCTGTGAAGCAGCAGAACCCACTGTCTCCCCTTCACCTGTTTCTTCTAATTTCTTTTAGTCCACTACACTGTTATTTTAGTTGTTTTATGCTTTTTACTGAAGTCTCTTTCCTTTACTGATACATGCAAGGGATGTAAAAGGCCTTTTGCTTTCTCAATATTATTGCAAAGTGTGATACTGTGGCAGAATTTGGTTTTGCCTGCAGATTTTTATCTGAATTTACCAGGGTTAGAGGGTAGCAGGTACTGCCAGTGTTACAGGTATAGGCTCAGTTGTGAGGGGCTCGACTGAGAGCAGGCATGATCCCAGCCCTGTGACTGCTTAGCTGCCTGCCTGTCAGCACAGCTCTGGGGTGCTGGTCCTGACTCTTTGTCATTAAGTCTTGGCACATGAAAGCTAAAAAGCCTTTTTGGCATCATATGCACCTGTGAAGAATGTGACCAGCTGTAGAAACGTGATAACAAATTGCACTGAGTGCAGAGTGATTTGTATGCCATGGCAGCATGTCTCTTCCATAAATATAGAGCCTGCATGTCTTGGCTTCTCCTGGCTCAGAAAGCAGCACGGCAGAGATGCTTTCTTGCTCTGCTGGCCTGCAGAGGATCTGCTGTGTTGTTGCTGAAGGGAGAACTGGCTTTCTTTCTGAAGGGACTATTCAAGGCTGCACAGTGGCTTCAAAGGGGAAGCAGTGGTAAAATATGGTGAAGATAAATGCAAGCTATTCAGCTGCTATGCAAATAACTTCCTCATATGGAGGCCAATCCAACACCTGGGCATGCAGGATTGGGCTGCCAGCCTTGATGGACAGATTGCTGCATTACTAAAGATTTAGGATGTTTCCAAGCACCTTCTTCTGAAAGATTCCAGGTTAAAAAACCCTGGGAAACCAAACCAAAGTATGTTTGCAGCCTCCATGATGCAGAGCTCCAGAGAACTATTTTTTCAGTCCCTGTATGTCATGGTGATAGTGGTTACATTTTACTTCAAGGTTGCTGAAGGTGCTTGTTTCCTGATTGTCTATGGGTTCATGTGTGACACCTGGGAAGCCACCCCTGTTGTTTTAAATAGACTTTCATCATTTCTGTACTCTTGCATGAGGGATGAAAATATCACGTTTGTGCACATAAAGAACAAATTGTTGTTATGCACTGCAGGGCTTAGTCACCAAGACAGGCCAGTTCTATGCAACAGTTGAAGATTAGGCAGTGCTTGAAGATGGTATGGAGAAAAGTCCTGGGTAGCATTGCATATCCCTGTCTCATGGAATGACAGCTGTATGCTGTGCATGTGCCCAAGTGGGAATGTTCAATGGATGCCTTAGTGGCAGCCTCATCTGGAGTTTGTTGCATTGCTTAGAAATTGAAAAAGACATTTTTCATAATCATTAATATGAGACTAGCTGATCTTCTTCAACCCCCCCCTCATTTCCCTTCAGGATTGAAGTAGGCAGGGTATCCCAGAGGGAGTGCTGAGAAAAGCGGTGTTTTGTGGGACGCCTTGTCTGTTCTAGGATACATGGGAGAAGAACTAGAAATGGCTTTACTTCTTCTCTATATTTGCATACAAAACCTGAGGCTTCCTCAGGCTCATAAGCCTGATTTTAGAGGGCTTTAATGAAGAACATGGTTTAATTTAACAGGTTTCCACAAAAGAGTAGTTATCTTGGATAAGTGCCGTGAAAACAGCAGGTTTGCAGTGTTAAGTTTTGTTCTGAGGATAGTATGTGCATACATACTGTATGTCTAGATAAAGGTACTGTTCCCTCAAAGGACAAGATAGCGCACTGCTGGAGGACTTAAGTGCTTTTAGTCCAAAATAAAACCCCTAAATCACCCTCTTAAATCTTCAAGTAATTTTTTTTCCTATTTCTTTATATGGTCTGCTTCTGCTCTGAAATGCTTTTGACCATTGAGAACTGAATATGCCAGGAGGTATTTCTTCATATTTCCACACAGGAATATTAACCTGAGAGTTACAAAACCAAAATGCCAAGAATGCCCTCCATGGATACCTGATAACCGGTTTAGACTACGTGGCACTGACCTGCCATCCTTGTCTGTAATGGCTGATGAGCACTTCTCACCTGGCCTGTCACGACTGTTTGATGCCATGCCAGTGTCCACCGTTTTCCATGGAAACAGAGCTCTGCTTATTGAATGAAAAGCTGTGTCCAGAGCCCCTATCAGTATTGATATGTGATTCAGGTTTGCTCGGAAGAGGGCAGCAAATAGCTTTTAATCTCGTTTGATTTTACTAGTAAAAACAACGTGAGATGACGGCCTGGAAGAGGATGAAGGTGAGTGTGATGTGTGTCTCCCCAGAAAGACTGACAATGCTTCTCCAAGCTTAGTTGCCTAAGCAGCAGACGTTGTTTTTTGAACCTGTAATTGCTAGTATAAACAGTCTTCTTGTTGGCTTTCTAAAACATCAGATTGAAACCAAGATCAGGGGAGGTGAGCATTGTGTTACTATGACCATAATGGAAATAGTTTTGGTTCTCAATGGGGTGTTCAGACTGATGAGCTTTGGGGGCTGAAATCCACTCCTTGGCAGGTGAGGTGGAAAAAAACCTCACCCATCGTCACTGAGTGATGAATGCAGTGGGTTCCCGTTGGTGTGACTGTTAGAGATGGGAAGGTGCTGGGAGGATGGCTAGGAGGTAGGTGCTCTGAGAATACCCTAGAGCTAGGTAGGACAGCGATGCAGAAAGGCTCAAAGTTATTTGGGTTGGTTCTGTGCATCCATGGAGCAGAAATCACAGACACTGAAGAGACAAACATGTAAGCACCCTGAGAATTTAAATGCCCCTGCACTGGGCAGGAGCTGTGGGTAGCTAAAGTCTGGATTGAAGTACTGTGAAACACTGACATCTTCTGTAACAAATCATATCCCTTAACTGGGTTGTCTCTCTTAGGATACAACAAGGGCTGTGCCTGTGTTTGGGGAGATTTTTTCAGAGTGGCTTTTGCGTCTGGCATTCTCAAGCTTGCCAAGAGATGGTGTGGGAGCCCACGCTTGCTCTGCATCTACCTGATCTTTCAACACAGTGTTAGCAAGCTAGTTTTTTGGTTTTTTGTTTTGTTTTTTTCTCAGGATAAGACTTTAATTCCCTCCCATTGATCATGGCCAAAGAAGAGAGCTCAAATAGAGATTTTATTCCAGAAACAATGCCCCCCTTGTGTCCTCTGTTGTGGTCTCTGTGAATGAGACTGCTGGTGAAATGAAGGCTTTTCCCCAGGCTGTTTTGTACCTTTCTCAGGAGAATCTTCATATTAGATCAGCTGCCTGGATTCCTGCAGGGAGAGAAAAGGGAGGTAAAGCATGGAATCTTTGTTCCATGGGGACATGAGGCAAAATGACAATCAGTGAGACTTTGGCTTTGTGTTCACTTTCCATAAATCCCCATGTGTTGCAGCAAGATTGTCCACATTAAAACCTATGAAGCAGAGGGCAGTTTCCCTATGCAGCTGTACAAGTTTTTCTGCTTCTCTCCAGGTCTGGCCCCAAGCCCCCACCCTGGTCTGGCTGTTCACTTCCAACCAAAGCTGTCATCATATTTCTTGCCTCATCCTCAGCTCTGCTGTGAGCTGCTGCCTATTCTGTTGGTACCTGCTCTTCCCCACCCTTCCCAGCACTGTCAGCATTTCTCAAGTTGTACATAAAATATAGCTTGCTACTTTCCATGTTTGGTTCTTTGCCAGCCAAGCTGCACCAAACTGATTACTCTAATGATCCAGTGCAGAAGGCTTTGAAAGCAAGGCGCTGTTATTCTTG